GTCACGCCTAAGACGCGGGTTCGATTCCCGACATGGGTACAATGTGTGAAGCCCATTCCTGGTGTCCCCTGTCGTGATATTGCTGGAATATTGCTACAAACGGCGTAAAACCATACTCACACACTCACTCACTTTTAAAAGGTTTGCTTTGATCGGTTATTGCTTCTGTTGTTCCTCTGATAATGGGTTAAAGTTTCTAGTAGGTGGATAGGTGTATTTCTATGATCAAGTTAATGAGGAAGCGACCGCTTTTTTGTCTTGAACTGAGCGGGTTTTGGTAAAGATCAGATCGTTCTCTAAACCAGTACGCAGAATTAAGTTTAGACATATTTTACGGGAACTTTCACAATCTCGTTTTATCATTTGGTTCCAGCGCGGGGTCCGTTGAAGTGATATATGAGCTAGCATTTCTTGGGAAGCTGGGGGACACTCTGTCCGACCGGATACCCGCCATCATTGAGGACCGAAGCACGAAGAAACAGAGGGATGACTCCGTGCACGTGCTTATCAAGAACTTCCTGGTTGACGTCCGGGTACATTGGAAGCAACCGTACAGTAAGTCGGAACCGACGTCTTTTGGACCCGTATGTAGATAACCATTTTTTTAATATTTCTTTTTATTCTTGCGACACTTATATTTAGAAATTGTTGACCCCGTTTAGTATGCAGATAAACAGTTGAACAATGTTTGTCCGGATAACCGCAATCCGTTTGATCGTTGTTCGAAATGTCAACAGACACACTTCTCCCACAGGGCATGCCATTTAGATAAACAGTTGAACCATGTTTGACCGGAGAACCGCAATCCGTTTGATCATTGTTCGTAACGTCAACAGACACACTTCTCCGTCAGGGCATGCCATTTAGATAAACAGTTGAACCATGTTTGTCCGGAGAACCGCAATCCGTTTGATCATTGTTCGTAACGTCAACAGACACACTTCTCCGTCAGGGCATGCCATTTAGATAAACAGTTGAACCATGTTTGTCCGGAGAACCGCAATCCGTTTGATCATTGTTCGTAACGTCAACAGACACACTTCTCCGTCAGGGCATGCCATTTAGATAAACAGTTGAACCATGTTTGTCCGGAAAAGCGCAATCCGTTTGATCGTTGTTCGTAACGTCAACAGACACACTTCTCCGTCAGGGCATGCCATTTAGATAAACAGTTGAACCATGTTTGTCCGGATAACCGCAATCCGTTTGATCGTTGTTCGAAACGTCAACAGACACACTTCTCCGTCAGGGCATGCCATTTAGATAAACAGTTGAACCATGTTTGACCGGAGAACCGCAATCCGTTTGATCATTGTTCGTAACGTCAACAGACACACTTCTCCGTCAGGGCATGCCATTTAGATAAACAGTTGAACCATGTTTGACCGGTGAACCGCAATCCGTTTGATCATTGTTCGTAACGTCAACAGACACACTTCTCCGTCAGGGCATGCCATTTAGATAAACAGTTGAACCATGTTTGTCCGGAGAACCGCAATCCGTTTGATCGTTGTTTGTAACGTCAACAGACACACTTCTCCCTCACGGCATGCCATTTAGATAAACAGTTGAACCATGTTTGTCCGGAGAACCGCAATCCGTTTGATCGTTGTTTGTAATGTCAACAGACACACTTCTCCGTCAGGGCATGCCATTTAGATAAACAGTTGAACCATGTTTGTCCGGATAACCGCAATCCGTTTGATCGTTGTTCGAAATGTCAACAGACACACTTCTCCCACAGGGCATGCCATTTAGATAAACAGTTGAACCATGTTTGACCAGAGAACCGCAATCCGTTTGATCATTGTTCGTAACGTCAACAGACACACTTCTCCGTCAGGGCATGCCATTTAGATAAACAGTTGAACCATGTTTGTCCGGAGAACCGCAATCCGTTTGATCATTGTTCGTAACGTCAACAGACACACTTCTCCGTCAGGGCATGCCATTTAGATAAACAGTTGAACCATGTTTGTCCGGAGAACCGCAATCCGTTTGATCATTGTTCGTAACGTCAACAGACACACTTCTCCGTCAGGGCATGCCATTTAGATAAACAGTTGAACCATGTTTGTCCGGAAAAGCGCAATCCGTTCGATCGTTGTTCGTAACGTCAACAGACACACTTCTCCGTCAGGGCATGCCATTTAGATAAACAGTTGAACCATGTTTGTCCGGATAACCGCAATCCGTTTGATCGTTGTTCGAAATGTCAACAGACACACTTCTCCGTCAGGGCATGCCATTTAGATAAACAGTTGAACAATGTTTGACCGGAGAACCGCAATCCGTTTGATCATTGTTCGTAACGTCAACAGACACACTTCTCCGTCAGGGCATGCCATTTAGATAAACAGTTGAACCATGTTTGACCGGTGAACCGCAATCCGTTTGATCATTGTTCGTAACGTCAACAGACACACTTCTCCGTCAGGGCATGCCATTTAGATAAACAGTTGAACCATGTTTGTCCGGAGAACCGCAATCCGTTTGATCGTTGTTCGTAACGTCAACAGACACACTTCTCCGTCAGGGCATGCCATTTAGATAAACAGTTGAACCATGTTTGTCCGGAGAACCGCAATCCGTTTGATCGTTGTTTGTAATGTCAACAGACACACTTCTCCGTCAGGGCATGCCATTTAGATAAACAGTTGAACCATGTTTGTCCGGAGAACCGCAATCCGTTTGATCGTTGTTCGAAATGTCAACAGACACACTTCTCCCACAGGGCATGCCATTTAGATAAACAGTTGAACCATGTTTGACCGGAGAACCGCAATCCGTTTGATCGTTGTTCGTAACGTCAACAGACACACTTCTCCGTCAGGGCATGCCATTTAGATAAACAGTTGAACCATGTTTGTCCGGAGAACCGCAATCCGTTTGATCGTTGTTTGTAATGTCAACAGACACACTTCTCCGTCAGGGCATGCCATTTAGATAAACAGTTGAACCATGTTTGTCCGGAGAACCGCAATCCGTTTGATCGTTGTTTGTAATGTCAACAGACACACTTCTCCCCCAGGGCATGCCATTTAGATATTAAACAGTTGAACCATGTTTGACCGGAGAACCGCAATCCGTTTGATCGTTGTTCGTAATGTCAACAGACACACTTCTCCCACAGGGCATGCCATTTAGATAAACAGTTGAACCATGTTTGTCCGGAGAACCGCAATCCGTTTGATCGTTGTTCGTAACGTCAACAGACACACTTCTCCGTCAGGACATGCCATTTAGATAAACAGTTGAACCATGTTTGTCCGGAGAACCGCAATCCGTTTGATCGTTGTTTGTAATGTCAACAGACACACTTCTCCCCCAGGGCATGCCATTTAGATAAACAGTTGAACCATGTTTGTCCGGAGAACCGCAATCCGTTTGATCGTTGTTTGTAATGTCAACAGACACACTTCTCCCCCAGGGCATGCTATTTAGATATTAAACAGTTGAACCATGTTTGTCCGGAGAACCGCAATCCGTTTGATCGTTGTTCGTAATGTCAACAGACACACTTCTCCCCCAGGGCATGCCATTTAGATAAACAGTTGAACCATGTTTGTCCGGAGAACCGCAATCCGTTTGATCGTTGTTCGTAACGTCAACAGCGAACTTCTCCGTCAGGGCATGCCATTTAGATAAACAGTTGAACCATGTTTGTCCGGATAACCGCAATCCATTTGATCGTTGTTTGTAATGTCAACAGACACACTTCTCCCCCAGGGCATGCCATTTAGATAAACAGTTGAACCATGTTTGTCCGGAGAACCGCAATCCGTTTGATCATTGTTCGTAATGTCAACAGACACACTTCTCCCTCTGGGCATGCCATTTAGATAAACAGTTGAACCATGTTTGTCCGGAGAACCGCAACCCGTTTGATCGTTGTTCGTAACGTCAACAGACACACTTCTCCGTCAGGGCATGCCATTTAGATAAACAGTTGAACCATGTTTGTCCGGAGAACCGCAATCCGTTTGATCGTTGTTCGTAACGTCAACAGACACACTTCTCCCACAGGGCATGCCATTTAGATAAACAGTTGAACCATGTTTGTCCGGAGAACCGCAATCCGTTTGATCGTTGTTCGTAACGTCAACAGACACACTTCTCCGTCAGGGCAAGCTATTTAGCATTGTGCATCTACAGTTGGTTTAATAGAAGCATCCACCAAGAGATACAAACACCAATAACGATGTATCTGAAACAAGACGCCTACGACTACTCTACCGGACAAACGAAAGTATACCCCATGTTTGACGGTGGCTTAAAATGAAACAAACAAGAAAATTGAAGTTATTCGATGGTGATGTATTTGATACTGGTATCACAATTGTGTTTTGGACCTTACGTTGACAGTGTTTTGGGAACTCTTTTTGTTTCGACTGTCTATTAACCTTTTGATAGTATTTCTATTTTTTTGGTCAAATCCAAAATTCAAGTGTACTTTCTTGTGCCTGCCAGTTTAGTTTGCAGAGGCTGAGAAACGATGTTTCTCGTTCAGTGGGGTCTGCGGTTTTCGCATGGAATGGTCTCACCCAATGGTCCGAAAGAGTAGAAGAGTAATGACAGTGATTATGATTCCTCCAATAGATGGGTGGCGGTGGGGTAGCTTAGTGGTTAAAGAATACGCACGTCACGCCGAAGGTCCGGGTTCGATTCCCCACATAGGGACAATGTTTGACGCCCATTTCTGGTATCCCCCTCCGTGATATTGTTGGATTTATTGCTAAAAACGACGTTTAACCTTAACGATTTACAAAATATTACTATATTAATGAATTTAATGCACGAAAGGATGACCACAAAGATGTCGTCACGTTTTGAAAGTGGTTAATGAACACATGTTTATCATGTAGCCGGAATCGCACAATTGACTCTGCTTTTAGTGTTTTTAATGAGATTTCTTCTGATTATGGAAATGGTTTTGTTGCTTTTATTTTCAGACGCCATCATGGCTGGTGTGACAGTACCGGTGTACAACCTCACCTACAGCAACAGCCTCGCCTACCACAACTCCACCGCCTACCAGGCACATGCCGTCCCTTTCTGTGCCGATGTGAGTCCCTTTGTCTGTCTATCCCTCCACCAATGTCGGTCTTCATGTAGCATCGTCTGTCTATCCCTTCACCCATGTCGGTCTTCATGTAGCACCGTCTGTCTATCCCTTCACCCATGTCGGTCTTCATGTGCACCGTCTGTCTATCTGTTCACCAATGTCGGTCTTCATGTAGCACCGTCTGTCTATCCCTCCACCAATGTCGGTCTTCATGTAGCACCGTCTATCTATCCCTTCACCCATGTCGGTCTTCATGTAGCACCGTCTGTCTATCCGTTCACCCATGTCGGTCTTAATGTAGCACCGTCTATCTATCCCTTCACCAATGTCGGTCTTCATGTAGCACCGTCTATCTATACCTTCACCCATGTCGGTCTTCATGTAGCACCGTCTGTCTATCCGTTCACCCATGTCGGTCTTCATGTAGCACCGTCTATCTATCCATTCACCAATGTCGGTCTTTGGATTATTTCATAAACTGATATGTCGACACGTAACTGAAACACCGCCATTCTTCATCTTTTATTACCATGATCTGTGCTACACAATCTCTCGACCTTGGTGTGAGACAAGAAAAGCGATCCCTCGCTCAAAATAACGAATTATTTTTGTGCTGATGCACTTTCAAAGCAAAAGTGTACACATATAAAACGCGGACCAACGTCATCGCCACATTCAAACACAAAGAGGAACAAATTCGTCACACATTGACTACACACGTGGGACCGAACCAATCAGAACCCCAGTAAATCTTAAAAAGTGTTTTAACTGTGAAAATTAACTGACGCCCAAACCCCGTAAACGTGATGCCACACAGAGCTGACAACACGACAAAGTCACAATATATCTCTTCTCATCCCATACTTCTCCCTGTGTAATGCGCCCCCCCCCCCCCCTCGCCCCCTCCCCCCTCCCCCGTCTCTGAACTTAAAGAATATACCCTCACAAATGTTTTTCGCTTGATCTCGTCCAGCTAGTGTGATGTATTCTAATCTTGTTATATATGCATCTATTGACGTCTCAATTAGTTTCGCTATATTCAGACAGTCTCATTAAACCAATAAGCAAAAACATTCTTCGATTACCTCACATTTCGTAAAAAGTCCTTTTACAGATTTACGTGGTTGTCATGCAGTGACGTAGCTAGTCTGCTTATAGCGTGTATAATCAGTTCTGGGGGCGGGTGCTGTATGTGTTTGTTAATGGGGCTGTAGATCAAGTGTTTAATCATTCAGATGAGCCAAGATTAAACACTTAAAGGCTTAATGATCATATATAAATTTATATATTCCAAACTTCTTTGGTGTGTACGTAATACATAAATAACACAAAGTAAGTTACTTTGATGTCGAAATAGTCTTTATATGCGAAGTATTTTCTATTCTTTCAGGAGTTTATCAGTGTATAGTGACTGTTCTATTGTGGTTATATTGTTTTGTTTGTGTGTTTGTTTGTTGTTTAACGCGCACTCAGCAATATTCTATCTATATGACGGCGGTCTGTAAATAATCGCGTCCGGACCAGACGATCTAGTGATTGAAATCATGAGCATCGATTTAAGCATTTGGGATACGATGACATGCATGAGCCAAGTCATCACCCGATCCCGTTACTCGTAATGTTATAAGAGGTCATTTTAGCTGCTATAGTTGATTACAGTTGAATGCAGTTGATAACAGCTTACACCCGAGGTGGTCAGCGAGTTATGGAGGGGGCTGTGTGTGTACAGTCAAATCAATTTTGAAGACAGTTATCAGGTCGATCATGTTCTAACCTAGGCAAGGGCGTCAACTGACTATAAAAGTCCAGTTTCCCTGCCTCGGGAAGATGGTCGATCATATTCCGATAGTGTGTGTGAGTGAGTGAGTGTTGGTCAGTCGGTCAGTCAATGCAGATAACACTGGTCCCCTGTGAATATGTAATGCAAAACAGATCTCGATGCTTCTGACCTCTGATAATATTTGAAGAACAAAATTAATGCCACAACTCGTTGTATCAGTTTCACCTTTCAGATGAGTGAGTGAGTTTGGTTTAACGCCGCTTTTAACAATAGTCCAGTTATATCGCGACGTGTCAGTTTAATGTGGGAGGAAAGCCCGAAGTGATGCAGGTCTCAGACGTTTACCACATCGATGAAACCCACGAGCACGGGTATGGTGCTGACAAACCTAGAAACATATTTGGGGCGAACTGGGATTCGAAGCCACAATCATAGGTTTCTGGCGTACCCAAGGGACGCAACTCTGCACAACGAATTGCGGCCCCAGAGACAACTGCTCGAATCCACAACAAACAATAATGCCTCGTCCACTGGATCACTCGTCTCCTGTAGCACAACCCTACTCTAGATAGTGATATTCCAACAATTCCATAGCACATAACTTATGGGTAATCGCACATCGAATCGCGGCGCCTTAGACGACTGGGCCACCCGTGCCCCTCTTTCAGATGAACTTTGAGCACTCAATTTATGACATATTGCGCCAGTCTGCACACGTTGATCACTCATTTATCCTGAATAACGAGGTTTAACTGTTTAGGATCTCACGTTGCACATCCCTATGTGATCACAGCAAAACAGACCCGCGAACATCCGGGTTACAATAGGTCTTCAACAACTCATGCTGGCCGTAAAAGGCGACTATGCCTGTCGTACGCGGCGACTAACGGGATCTGACTTGGTTGATGCATGTCACCGTATCCCAATTTCGTAGATCGATGCTCATGATGTCAATCACTGGATTGTAAGGTCCAGCCTCGATTATTTACAGACCGTCGTCATATCGCTGGAATATTGCTGAGTGCGGCGTTAAACAACAGGCAAACACGTGTCAGTTTGATGTTGGAGGATAGCCCGAAGTGATGTCTGTCTCAAGCATCTCGCATCTTGAACGCATGGAATATAGCGGCGTTTAACAACAAACAAACAAACACAACATTATGCTCTCTGGAGAAAACATAATCATTATTAAACGAATGGGGTCACGATTAAATTTCATTATTTTTTTCAGATTGACGAGTTTCTTCAAAACAGCTGGATGAGCTCGCGATATTTATCTTGTGAGGTAACAAACTTTGGGTAAGTACGAAATGGCAAAAAAGGGCGGTGGGGTAGCCCAGTGGTTAAAGCGTTCACTCGACACGCCGATTGTCCGGACTCGATTCTCTATATGGGTACACTGTGTGAAGCCTGGTGTTCCCCGCCGTGATACTGCTGGAATATTGCTAAAGATTGCGTAAAATCACACTCCCTCACTCCACATACTATAGAATCATTATACATACGCAGTTACGCCAAACCAGCCGAGATCCATAGATTAAGTATGGAATCCTAGGAGGGACATTTTCGCGTTGTCACGTTGTCGCCCTTACAAAAACAGGCAAAAGTGTCAAAAATAAAAAAAGCGCGACAACGTGACAATGCGACAAATGTCCAATATGTCACGTCGCATTGTCGCGTTTTGGTTCATGTTGACCCTTTTGGCTTGTTTTTTTTGTATGGACGACAATGCGACAACGTACATTGTCCCTTATAGGATTCCATACATACATGTAAGTGCATAGGTGCAGAGCATTGTAATACAGTATGAAGGTATATAATACTTGTTCCTCTTGCGAAATTACCGAAAGTGCTCGTTAAATTTTCAAAATCTACAGTTGTCCATCTACTCTCACCCTCAACATTTCAGCGTACTGTGAAACCCCTTTAATCCAGACGATAAACATTCCAGTAAAATCGTCCTAAGAGTCAAATTTCGAGATTTTCTAAATTACTTGCATTTTATTATATTGTTCTAAACAAACGTCGGGAAGTTGAGATGGCCGAACCGCCGAGGTCAGGACACGAGAATTCAGTGCAAATAGATTCCATTTTGTTGTGACAGAAATCCGTCACATACAGTAAACCTCGGTTATAACGAACACGCTTATAACGAACTGACGGATATAACGAACTTGCTTTTTTGGTCCCGACTATTTGCTGTAGTTATGCGGTATATATGCTTATAACGAACTACGGTTATAACGAACTAAAATTAGAAGTCCCTTTGAGTTCGTTATAACCGTAGTTTACTGTAGTTCGTTACCAAGAGACTGCTCGCATGTGAGTGGAAATACTGGACTTAAATTGATGCTTGGAGACGTAAAGATATCCCAACATATAAGCGTAATTGCAACAACATATGTGACGTTCATCATTATATTCTATTTGTCCTATTTTCGATCACGATCTATACCTATGTTATGACATTGTTCAGAAACAACCCAACATCGGTCTCAGTTGATCTCAAATTCCGTGGTGAAGACATCCGGGACATTCAGACTGGCCTCATATACGTCATCATGACGTCAGCTCCTAACGTCACCGTCGGGTACCAGACACTGAAGATGATTGGGAACTTGTTGGTGGTGCCCTACAACGTTGACCTATCATTGGAGGGGATACAGCTGGTGACGACCACGACAACGACAACGACCCCGACAACGACCCCGACAACGACCACGACCACGACCACGCCGGTTACCACGTGGCCAGGTACGTAAACTGAGAGGCACAATAAACTATACCGAGTTTATTTTATGAACTGAAAATTAGAGGACTGTTGTTACTTTTGATTTTGTCTATATAATTCCTTGTAACAAGTAATTTGTGACTGGGTTATTTTGTGTAAATATAAAATGGTTTAGTGAAGACTGGGGTAAGAAAGGATTTGCAACCACAAGACCCATAACCGTTTATAAATGTACGTTTGTGCCGAAAACAACAAATTTATTGATTTTCAAAGATAAGATGTCTAAGATACCCATCAACGGTTATGTATTATGCTAAATTTGTTGATATTTGTTTTAATTTTAAAAGATTTAAATCAAATTATCGTTTAAAAAATAAAACCACGTAGACGTATTCTTTTTGTGCTGACTAAGCGCCTGTTTTTTTTCATAATATCACTTCAGATACTTTTTAATTGAAAATCGAACATATAAAATCAACTGTGTGGTAGAGTTTCTTTTTCTCCTCGGTATATTTCACGAAACAGTCATCTGTGTAGACGCTTTATCGAATTCAGATAGTCGACTTGGTGCTACCTGTAGCCTTTTCGCGAACACCTGGTGTCATCACTGATTTTAAAAGATCCAGTAATATCATTTCCACCGCTTTTTCGCCTTTTACGACCCATGGCATCTGTTTCGGCGGATAGTCGAGACTGGTTATTTTCTGGCGTTGGCGTCTTATTTTTGCAAAGTCAATGATGTACGCTGACGAATATCATGAATCACAAGTTACACAGTCTGCACGGAAAAAGTGGCAAAAGAAACTGTTAGAATTTGAATACATTAATGCAAAACTAAAACAAACACTTCAATTGTTCCATTGCCCTGAAATCGCATTCTGAGTGATTCATAATACCAAGAGACGTGTTTTTTTAGAGATGAAACAGGTATAATGGTTTGGTTTTTTAAAGTTTTAAGTAAAATCGGCTTCATGAAAGTTCTTCTACGTCACCAGGAGACGGCGTCTACGTGAGGAAGACGCTCCGGGTGCTCAACTTGACCTACACTGACCCCCTCAATGACCCCACATCCCCCGACTTCCGGGACCTGTCAGGGCCGTTCTGTGATGACGTAAGGTCACATTCTACTCTGCGTGTTTTGTTATATATTCCATACTTCTTTGGTGGGTACGTAATACATAGAAAACACAAAGTAACTTACTTTGATGTCGAAATAGTCTTTATATGCGAAGTATTTTCACTCCTTTCAGGAGTTCATCAGTGTATAGTGACTGTTATTTTGTGGTTATATTGTTTTGTTTGTTTGTTCGTTCGTTCGTTCGTTCGTTCGTTCGTTCGTTCGTTCGTTTGTTTGTTTGTTTGTTTGTTTGTTGTTTAACGCCTCACTCAGCAATATTCAAGCTTTTTGACGGTGGTCTGTAAATAATCGTGTCTGGACCAGACAGTCCAGTGATTGACATCATGAGCATCGATCCACGCAATTGGGAAACGATGACATGCATCAACCTGACAACCCGATCCCGTCAGTCACCTCCTACGTCAAGCATAGTCGCCTTTTACGGCAAGCATGGGTTGCTGAAGACCTGTTCTACCCCGGATCCACGGGTCCTGCGTGTTCTGAAGCATATTTCTGTCATTACAATTTTCAGTGTTTCCTAAATATCACACAGGTTTGCAAACACTATTTCCCATTCACCCAATAATACCGACATGTAGCGCCGCTGAGCGATAAATTGAAAGCTCTGACCAATGACATCTGACCAATGAGGGCAAAGATTATGCAATGGGTCTAGCTTGGCGGCCTGTTGTGAAAACCTTGCGAGCGTCGGCTCTACGCAATCCTTCAATAGAATAGGTTCGCACAAGTTCACGTACGGAGTAAAGGCTTAGATTTAAAGCCCGTGAGTAATACACGGCCTTATTCATCAGTTTGAAAATAGACAGACGTCACTACCACCCCGCACTGAGGCAGTATGTATTCACGGGTGGCCGAGGATGTTCTGTATACAAGACAGTGAAACCGTAACGATGTTTCCACCGCAACATAACGGTGAACATCTTGGCATTTATTGTGTCATGGGCGGTGGGGTAGCCAAGTGGTTAAAGCCTTCGCTCGTCACGTCGCAGGTCCGGGTTCGATTCCCCACATGGGTACAGTATGTGAGGCCTGTGATATCGCTGGAACATTGCAATCAGCGGCATAACACAATGCTCACTCACTCATGATGATGATTGACCAGATCCTCTTTTCCTTTCTACACCTAAACCCCAGGTCCCACCCCAATATTATCCCTACTCTATGCTACATAACGAGATATATGACCCGTGAAGATCCGGGGTAGAATAGGTATTCAGCAACCCATGATTGCCGTAAAAGGCGACTGTGCACGTCGTAAGAGGCAACTAACGGGGCCGGGTGGTCAGACTCGCTGACTTCGTTGATACATGTCATTGTATCCCAATTGCGTGGATCGATGCTCATGATGTTAATCACTGGATTGTCTGGTCTAGACTCGATTATTTACACTCAGCAATATAGCTGGAATATTGTTGAGGGCGGCGGTAAACAACAAACAAACAATAACGAGATAAATGTCTTTAGTCTATGAAAAAACGGCCATCATACATGATTGTATGGTTTGGTTCCGAATTCCACGATATCAGTGATTGCGTAGGTTAGGAATATGTATGCTTTATTGATCATATCTTATGTGCACATTAACACAATATTTATATCGAAATATTATATGAAACGTATGCATTGTAATGATATACAGTCAAACACCGTTGTGTCGAACTTTGATGAGTCGAACTTACGGTTGTAAGTAAAAGTCTGGTCCTGCGTATTCCTATTCATCATGTTTCGGTTATGTCGAACCTCGGATAGCTCGAAGTGTTTACGTAGGCCCCTTAACTTCGACACAACAGTGTTTGATTGTATATAGAAATTATGTATATTGTTTTTCCTCCTCAGCTCGGCCGCCTGTACGGCCTGTCTCCGTACGGAGGCCGGTACCACAGCTGTAGGGTGTATACCTTCAAGTGAGTAGATTGAACGCTTCTACTCGTAGACAATACTGATTTGTTTATTACCTGGATTATGTGTTTTGTTAATATTGTTTTGTATGTGTTTTGTTGGATATTTAAATCAGTAAGTGTTCTTTACAAAATAGTGTCAGTATGTTTCTGAACCTACATTGATAATAATCTGGAAACGCTTCTGGAGGGTCACTGGATCAATATTGTAGGGATATTACTACATATCATGATTTGTTAATCCCAAACCTTGTTAATCCGGATAGGTACAATCTGTGAAGTTATGGTGTCCCCTGCTCTATATCCGGGCGATGACTGTTTTGTGAGGGGGGTCACGATTCCCCGCATGGGTACTATGTGTGAAGCGCATTTCTGGTATCCCCCGCTGTGATATTGCTAGGATATTGCTAACAGCGGCGTAAAACCATACTCACTCACACACTGCTTATCTGGTAATACAATCGGATCAACGGGGTTTCATCATGCCTGGATCAGTGTTATAATACCCCTGGCATCCAATGCAAGTCGTTGTGCAGAGTTAGGTCCCTTAGCCGCACCAGGATACTATGATCGTCTCGGTTGAGATCCTTCCTTTGGTAGTACCATAAACGTGAAAGTCTCACTCACTCACTTACTCACTCACTCACTCACTCACTCACTCACTCACTCACTCACTCACTCACTCACTCCGTGTATGATTTCAACATATTCATCTTCCCAGAGACCGGCCCACGTCTGTTGTCTTCACCGTGCTGTTCCGGGGCAAGGAATGGCGGGGGATGGATAACTCGGTTGTCAGAGTGATACGAACGCTGGCCCCCCGCGTCGATGTCAAGGGTAAGGAGGCGTATCGGGTGGGTTCTCTGCTGGTGCTGCTGGGCGAGGGGGATCAGACGCTGGGCCCCACCACCCTCCCATCTCTCTTCAGTACGGTCACGCCCACAGCCTCCGTCATCATTATCCACGGTAAGTACAACTGGAGTGTATCACTGTTTGTTGTTTTACGCCGTACCAACAATAGTCCAGCTACATCACGGCCATCTGTAATTTCGCTTGTTTCTTTTTTAACGCCGCACTCAGCATTATTCCAGCTATATGATGTAACGTCACATTCCACTCTGCGTGTTCTGTGTGTTTTTTGTTTAACGCCGCACTCAGCAATATTCCAACTATATGACGGCGGCCTGTATAAATTCGACTTGACCAGACAATCCAGTGATCGATATTAAGAGCAAGAGATCCACAATGTCAGGGCACGATGACACGCTTAAAATCAACACAGCCGACGTAACAAGCGGGTCTATTTAGTTGCCTCTTCCGACCAGCATAGGTTACAGCGGACATATTCTGACCCGGAATCCCTAAGAGGGGCGGGTTTGAACCAGATAAACTAGTGGTTGACAGTATGAGCAGCGTGCCATGCCACCGAGTTACGATGACACTGAATTATTGACCTTGACCATCCGATGTATGTTGCATTTGTGCGCATCGTAAACGATGCCAGTGGGTCAAAGTTAAGCAGGGTAAGGAATGGGGGCGGGATGCGCTCGACTAGCCTTGGCCCTGCTCGCATTGAAGTACAGTTGGAAAGAGACGGTGAATAATCGTTCGAAGTCGGCACCCAACAGTGGGTACCCGGCAGAATAGGCTACACACAGAATTGTGCAGTATACTCCCCAGTGAGTTGAGAACGAAAATTGATTAAATATCCATTGATGAAGTGATCCAGGATCCATTGATGATAATGCGTCTGTGCCATTATTAGTAGCATAGCCAGTAGCAGTGTT